GAAGGAAGGAAGGAAGGAAGGAAGGAAGGAAGGAAGGAAGGAAGGAAGGAAGGAAAACTGACAGAATTATTGTCAGTTTCATCTGGGTAAGAATAATAAACGAGATCCATCATTCCACCATTCGATTGCTAAACTTGTTAAAAAAAACCCTTCAAACATCCACCAGTAATATGGAAAATAACAACTGCAACAATAACAATAACTGGGGTTCATCATCAAGATTCCTTCAGAAGGGGCGGGCAGCCTAGTAGCCCAGCATAAAATCTCCATGGAGGGCGGCAACCAGTGACCAGAGGGGAGGGAGCGTTCCTGCCCCAGTGCACCTTTGCCACCTGGAGAGGAGACACTGCTTCAATCAACCCAGGTCAGAAAACACTACTTTTGATGCACAGCAGGAACAGAAGAGAAGTTGCTTTTTTGTGGCTAGTGGCAGATGAAAGCCTTGACTGGCCTTGAGAAACAGTCCCCCTGAATTCATGCTGGGGCAACCTGGTCAGGCAGATCAGCCTGCAGTCAATTTCATTAAGCTGAAATATCCTGTGAATGGGGGAAAAAAGGAGTGTTCTTTTCAAAAGTTTTGGAGCTCCCCATCCTTCCTCTGGAAAGCTAGCAGTTTGGACAAAATGCAATGGCAGGAGCCTAGCCAGATAGCTTCTTCCCTAAATTTTAAACAGCAGAATGGCAGTCTTGAGACGGTTTTGCAAATACAGCAGGCCTGCACAACATACAGCCCGCGGGCCACTTGCAGCCCGCCAAAGGATTTCATGCGGCCCGCATCGCTCGTGGGCACGAGGTCCAAAAATGCAGTATATGTTGTTTTTTTTAAATAAAGTTTCCATGATGAACTCTCGCAGGAGTGATTTCCAGGAAATAACCAAGCAGCGCTCAGCCTATGAGCGCTGACACGTTTTTGTGGCGACGAGGGCGGCAAAATTACCGAAGCAGCTCTGGGAGAACAGCAATTTTGATAATTGTAAATTTTACAAGACTAATACCTTTGTAAAATGGATGATCAAAAGAAGCGGAAGATGGAATCAGAACATAGAGTGTTTAATCCGGAGTGGACAAATAAATACTTGTTTACGTACGCTAGAGACAAAATATTGTGCCTCGTTTGCTGAGACATAATGGCCATTCCTAAGGAATACAATCTGCGTCGCCATTTCGAATCAAAACATCCTGACTTAGCCAAATTGGACG